CACATGAGAACCAATGCTTTTACGTTAAAAGCATTGGCTCAAAGCGCAAAGATTTTAAAGAGTAACGTTTAATGTTTACGCCGTTATGTTTAATGAGAATCTCCGCGAGAGAGAACTAACGATTTGCATGATAAGTGCTTATGATAAAAGTGTATGATAAATGTAAAAGTTAAAAAGTATTTTTTTTGTCTTGCGATGTTTATGAATCTTTTAAACAAATATTTTATTTATTACTTTAAATTACGACATCAAAAAGTTTGAAACTTTATTAAAAAACTTAAAAATTATAGTGTGAAGCACTTATAAATAAAGTGACGAATTAATTGTTAAACAAATTTTAAATTAAGAAAAATATTATTAAATAATTATTATTTCAATACATAACAAAATTTATCGGATTCAAAAAATGTAACTAAGAAGAAATATAAATTTATAATATAAGGCTTATTGATCAATAAATTATCGGACTTGATTAAAAAAAAGTATATCAAGGTATAACAGCCGAATTCTGACGCTTTTAGATCGTTTATTCAGCGGTCTAGCTACAACTGAACTCTTGCTGAAAAAATGTATTAACGCTCAGCCTGACAACAACAAAAGACTTAAACGTTGTAGCAATGAAGCGATTCAATAGTTTAACTTGTTTGCAAAAAATAAAGTAACAAAAGATAAAAGTCATTTATTTCTAACGTTAACTAACGTGACTTAAAATAATTGTCGCTTTGAGTTTGTACTTTTACAGTTTTAGTTTTCTTTTCTCTTCTTTTGTTGAAAATATGTAAAAAAAAAATACATATTTTTTAAATTGTTCTCTATAATTTAATTTAGTTTGGTTTTTTTAACGCATTTCCCATAGGCCGAAAAAACGTATTTATTAGTCAAAACATCAAAGCAACCGTGGTTTTATTGTCAAAACATTGTTATTATGTGCGTGGTCAAACACAGCGTCCGATCGCACGCCATTCCCATCCAAGCCTATATATATATATATATATATATATATATATATATATATATATATATATATATATATATATATATATATATATATATATATATATATATATATATATATATATATATATATATATATATATATATATATATATATATTATGTAGCGACAATGCTGAGATGCAGGCTTTCACTTTCAGATTTATATTTCACTTTCAGATTTATATTTATGTAGTTTTTTTAGTAAAAAAACTACATAAATATAAATCTCATTCTGACTGAAATTTTTTTAACAATTCCGGCAAATCCGGTTTTGGCCGGAATTCAAAATTTTTAATCCAGTATACCCCTAATGTCCTTAAATGAAAAAAAAATTTAATGACTATTGAAGATAATTTTATGACATCAAAATCATGATGAGCTGATATGCTAAGCCATTTTTTGTATAAAACAAGACCTATGTCATATATAAGATATATGCTTGCATATATCTTCGTGAGAGTGCTCAATGAATTTAAGTAAATTAAAATGATTTAAATTAAAACAGAGCTGTATTCAGTGAAAAATATGTAGTTTTATTTATTATATATATATATATATATATATATATATATATATATATATATATATATATATATATATATATATATATATATAAATATATATATATATATATATATATATATATATATATATATATATATATATATATATCAACCCTCGGAATTAGAAAAAATTAGGTCAGCAATATTTTGCCAACCTTGATCTTTTTGAGGTCGGCATCAAGTCGGCAAAAGTTATTTGATACAAAGGTCTGATCATATAACATAGAAACGAGGGCAGCAATTTTTTACCGACCTCAAACACTGTAAATTACACAAAATAACAGAGGTAAAATCTCTATTTTGTACATAAAATGTTTGCGACGTAATCCTTCTTAACAAGACCTTGCATTTGTTGCGGATAATACAAGTTGAATCCAACTGGAATGGCTTTCCTAACTGACTATTGCACTGTTATGAAACTTGTTTTAAAAGCAATTGACATTCTTGAATCTGAGACCAACACACAGATGAGTTCCTGCCAGTGATCTTTCAATTGCAAACAAAACTGAGCAGCTTGAAGACATCTTCCAAAATGTGTCTGCCCTTTATTGCAGCAGTTCAAGATCATGTCCATAAATGTTTAGGTGGAATGATGGAAGAGTCAGAACTAATTGCTACAGCAATTCTTAAGCCAAAGAACTCCTGGACTAATAGAACTGATTTATAGGAGCAGGTATGATTTTCTTTTTTTTTCTGTCTATGACAAAATAGAAAAAGGAATCATACTTATATATCTGTTGTGCCCATTTTGTCTATTTTGTTATTACTTAATAATTGGTTGTTGTTTAAGTATTGTAAAATGAATCTTTGCAACAATCATTGTTTTGTTTTTTAACAGTTATGGACTATATAAAACAACTCATTAACTAAATGGCGTATTTGGAGCAAGTTGGGACGTCAGATAAAGAAAATTTCTTCTCATCAACAAAATTCAAAAGATTATTAGGTTCAAGGGTACCTTGCTTGTAGTGCAAATAAAATGGATCTAATAAATTTAATTCTTAATGCGGTAGTGGTGTAGTGGTAGAGCGCTCGCTTCATAAACGAGTGGTTCCGAGTTCGATCCCCACTACGTCCCTGGTAGTACCGCGCTCAACTCGTTTCTCCGCGCAGCGGCCTTGTTCGTCAAGGTTCGTGTTTCGGAGTTAGAGAGTTGAGAGAGGGTTATAGCCACAAAATAAGTAGCCTCCTCGTCTGTAGTGGCCTTTCCGGCCTTGAGGAGGTGAAGTAAAATAAAAATAAAAAAAATTCTGCATATCAAAAGTCTTTCTCATGCTGACCACTATTCTTCCTGCCTCTGCTATTCGGCAGTGCTGGACTGTTATTTACTTCAAAGCAGATAAGAATAAAATTTACTAACATTAAAAACTACTCAACTCTCAAAACTCTCAAACTTAACAAAAAGTTTTGAAAATTAATAATTAACATTTAGTTTTGAAGAAATTTAATATAGAAAAATGTAAAATATAAAGTTTATTCTTGAAATAGTTTTGCATTTATTAAAGAAGAAATATTTTTCTTAACACTTTGTGGAGCAAATATAAGTGAGGTTTTCGTTTTTTTTTTTTTTTTTTTTTTTTTTTAAATATAAGTGAGGTTTTTTGTTTTTTTTTTTTGTTTTTTTTGTTGTTTTTTTTTTGTTTATTAAAAAACAAAAAGGGTCAACAAATGGACAAAATTAAAAAAACATACAACAAGTATCTTTAAAAGTAACAATCTACTCATCACCATCCAAGCTAATAATAAAATTGTAAACTATCTTGATGTTATGTTGAATCTAGATAACATCTTATTCCAACCTTACTGCAAACCTGAAAATCAACTAAGGTATATCCACACTAACTCTAACCACCCTCCGAGCATAATTAAAGCAATGCCTCGCAATATTGAACAAAGATTATCTTCCATGTCATTAAACAAAACTACTTTCATGAATGCTACTCCACAATATGAAGAAGCTCTAAAAATTCAGGACATAACTCAAAGCTTATCTACCAACCACAACAAATTCAAGCACAAAAAAAACACAGCAAACAAAATATAATTTGGTACAATCCTCCGTACAGTGTAAATGTCCAAACAAAAATAGGTAACCATTTTCTGGCTCTTAAAGATTTTCATTTTCCACCAGGCCACAAGCTTCACAAAATATTTATCAAAATTCTATCAAGATTAGTTACAGCTGCATGCCTAACCTAAAATCAATAATCAACTCACACATAACTCAATCATAAAATAATACACAACAACAAGCAAATAGAAACTAAGCAATGTAACTGTGTAAATAAATCAATTTGTCTATTAAACAAACAGTGTTTGTCCAACAATATTGTTTACCAAGCTACAATTAATAATGAAGGTAACAAAAAATTATATTTTGGTATTAATCACACATCATTTAAGTTAAGATACACTAATCATCTAAAATCCTTTGCTTCAGTTGAATACAGAAACAGCACTGAACTTTCAAAGGAGCTTGAAAGATCAAAATATAAAACCTATCATAACGTGGAGAATAATTAAACGTTACAGTCTCTATAATCTTACAACAAAAATATGCCACCTCTGTCTCTATGAAAAATATGTAATTTTATCACATAGTGGAACAAATTTACTAAACAAAAAGAATGAAATTGTTTCTCAGTGTCGACAATCAAAGAAATTCTTGCTCTTTTTATTTGACACAAAAGACTAGTAAACTATAATGGCTTCTTGTTTTGTTTTTACTCAGATTTGTTTATCACGTCTGAAACCGTTCTACGGTATTTAATTTTAATTTTGAGTTTTTTAAAAACAATTTTTTGACCTTTTTTGTTTGTATTCACAGCTGATGATTACCATATTGTATACCAGGTTGGTATACCTATTGTATACCAGGTTGGGTGCCCAAATATGGGCACCCAACCTGGTATACAACACTCTTAATGCTTTTTAACAAGCCAGGCCTCATTAAAAAGCGTTACGCAGCTTGCAGTTCAGCAATTTTGCATTAAAATAAAAGTACTGAATGTAAATTACATTTATTATTATTATGATGATAAATTATTTTTAAACATGATAAATCATTCTTGTAAATTATTTTTAATATTAAGGATAACATATTATCTTTAATATTAAAAAAGTGCATTTTAAAAAAAAAATTTAATTAATATTGATTCTGGAAGCATCTTTTTAAAGCAATGCAAACAGTACCAGACAAACATGTTACTAGTTTTCAATATTTTAAAAAACAATACAAATATTTATTGACAGTTTTTAAAATCTTTTTTTTTTTTCAAAAAAGTCAGTTTTCATAATTCATAAATCAGATCAGATATTATTTAGAAAAAAAAACTTTTATGTTACAAAGAGCTTTTGTTTTATAATTTTTTGTTTATTTTAACTTTTTAATTTTGTTATCATTGTTTTTCTTTTAATTCGAAGGAAATTTGTTTACTTTAAGGAGCAGGAGAGTCTGGTAAAAGTACGATTGTCAAGCAGATGAAGTATGTTTTTTTAAAAATATTTTCTTTTTATTTATCAAATTATTAATAACTAGCAGTAAGCAACCTGTAAAATTATAAATTGTTCACCGGTAATGCTTAATAGCTCAATAGATAAACTAAAGAGGTTCCATTTATGATACATAATAACTCCTAACTTGTACTACAGACAAGTGCTGTTTTGTTTACAATTAATATATATATATATATATATATATATATATATATATATATATATATATATATATATATATACCAGGGCTCAATTTAACGGTCAGACATTGGACATGGTCTGACTAAAACCTCAAATTGTCCAATCAATTTACAAAGTAATTGGACATTTTGACCAAAGAGAATTAAATTCTACAAAATAAATACTTCAGTATATATATAAAAATTAAAATGTAAAGTAAATTAAAAATAAATGAAAAAATTTAAAATCAAGCTCAAAAATCTCTATTTTAAAATTACTATTTGTTACATTTTTAATTGCGTTTGAAATAAATTATTTTAAAACTTATCTTTTGAAACGTGTTATTAAAGTTATGCAAAATGCTTTTACAAAATACTTCTATTGATTGTTTAATAAATAAACAAATTTTATTTAAATTATTGAAAAGTGAAACTAAATTATTGAAAAGAAAAAAATATAATATTTTAAGTTGTTTAAACATTATTTTCAAAAAGTTGCACAAAAAAAAAGTTGTTTAAAAAAATGCGTCTATATAAAATTGTAATTTTTACCCATTTCATACTTTGATTAAAAGTCAAGTTTAAAAAAACAACAACTTTTAAACAATTCTTTGTAAAAATAGAAAAAAAACAAAAACAAAAAAAAGGCAATTAAATCTTGGGAAGATTTAATTTAACTTATTCATAATTTAAAGTAAATTGAAGATAATAATCTTTTAATAAAAGATTTTTAGAAAGACTTTTTATGATAAATTTAAATTTTTGAAACTATTTTAAAAATAGTTTTAAAAATTTAAATTTATTATAAAAAATACATACCTACTAAAATATTTTTTAAATATAACATTTAATTTACACATAATGCGTTTATTTTAAATTATAATTTTTTATTTTATTTAAAGTTTTTATTTTATACCTTCGCGTAAAATAAAAACTTCAAAAAAGATCAATGATTAAAAGTTATTTGTAACGTAACAATTTTTTTTTATTGCATTTAAATAGTTTTATATATTTTAATATATTGCATTTAAATAGTTAAAATGTCAAAAAAACCGTTGTCAAGTTGTAAAGAATAAAAACAAAAAAGTGTTGTCAGTTACAGTATGCAAGTTTAAGTTTATCTAAAAAAAACATGCAATATAAAATATAAAATTGTAACTATTTTATTAAAAAAAAGTAAAAATCTGCGATTAAATATTTAAAATAACTAACATTAAATAAATTTAATAAAATGACAAAGATTTCGATTGTACAACTTTGTTCCGTAAAACCGTAAAAGTTATATTTGAAAAAATTTGATCGGACATTGTCTGACCCTAACAAGTTTTGATCGGACATTTTGTCCGGGACTTTATAAAAAATTAAATTGAGCCATATATATATATATATATATATATATATATATATATATATATATATATATATATATATATATATATATATATATACATATATACATACATACATACATACATACATACATACATACATACATACATACATACATACATACATACATACATACATACATACATACATACATATTAGGGCGTCCCAAAATGACATGAATTTTTTTAGTTTTAAACTATTTTTAAATTTTCAATCAGTTTCATATGTATTTTTATCTACTAAATCCTTTATCTTAAACTACTTTATCCTTAATATACTCCTTTTATATATCTATTATTTATATCCAATATAATTAACTATTATTATAATTTTAGATAGTTTTGTAATGAATAAAAGTTAAGAATTATTAAAAACAATTTGTCACCTGGTTTATGACCCTACCCCTACCCTTTCTCATAATACCCTTGTCATATGATTTTTTTCTGCCTAAATATAGAACTTTATAAATTATAATTTTTAATTAAAACAAAAAACTTGATAAATACCTAATTATTAAATAAAGAAGCATAGAAATGATAAATGGTATAAATTAATAATATTAAAGCACAATGGAAATAAATACTAAGAAATTCAAAATCTCATTTTTCTAAAATTATAACAAAATAACAATATTTAAAGGTATAATAAAGAGATTGTTTAAAGTATATTTTCAAAAATTAAGTTTTTGAATAGCTTGTTTATTTGTGAGGAAGAATTTTTTGGTGATGTTCTAGTGCACATAAAAGAAATTCTTTCTGCTTTTCATTTTTCATAATAGATTTTGCATAGTCTTAAATTAGTTTAACAGCTCGTTCTGCTGTATTGTTTACAGATTTCAGTGATTTAATATCCTCAAACATGTGTTGAAAATTTGTGTTAGCTTTCCAAAACTTTAGAGATTTTGCCAACCAACCACTGTCCTCCTTTGAATATCCGAATAAATTTAGAATGTTGCTTGATTTTGGTCTAATTAAATCAGTCAAACAAGTACTCTGCTTCAGAAGAGCAAAAGCCTATATCATGTTCACAGTTTTCTTTTATATTTCTCAGAATTGCTTTAGCAATTTTAGTTTTATCACAATCAGATACCTTATCAGAAAATAGGGGCCATATTTTCACATAAAATAGTAAAGTAATTTTACAAAACCTAGATAATTTCTCTATAAAACTTTCTTCATACTCTGTCAGGTCAGCAAAAGCAAACATTTTTGATGTGTACAAGACTGTACACATCCATCTAGAATGATGGAAGGCTTCAGGTTTGTGCCACTATATATTTATTTGTTTTGGATTGGGTAATTGCAAAGCAAGTTGACAACACTCTCGATAATCATCTCTTAATATTTTTGAGATTTCCGGTTAAGTAAACCAGACCAAAAAATAATACTTCTGCTTGTTTGGTCTTAATACTGGTTCTTTGATTTTTATTTTTCTAAAAGTAGTATCTCATGTTAATTAAAGTTTAGGCCATACCTCATTTTTAAAGTGTCTAAATGGCTCGTAATTTAAAGATCTACGTTCTCCAAAACTTTCAAGAAAACAGAAGACAAAACTCTTTCACAAATATGGTGTTGGCAGGCGCACCAAGTAACTTTTTATTAAAGTGTTCTTCAATTAATTTTGCAGAACCATTTATCTAATCTAATTTTTTTTTTTTTTTTTTTTTTTTTTTTGTGTGTTATTTAGGCCACGGCTGCAATAAATTTAATGGAGTTGTGTCAAAAATTATTGCCATAAGTGTTTTTTCTAGTTTCCATGCCTTTGCAGCATCTATGGTAGCTGTTGCGTGACTTCGCCCAGTTGTATCAGGAATCAGTTGAGCTGCATAACATTCTTTTTTTGCATTTTTAATCAAGTTCTCTCTAAGATGAATCAGATGCAGTATCATTCTAACAATATCTTTCTTCTATTTTGTTGGAATTGTGCCATTTTCCAAAAAACATTTGCTTTTTCCCAAACTTCAGGTGTAACTTCTTTTTTACCAGTTAATTTTAAATCAACTTTTGTAAGATAAAGATAATGGCATACAACATCTCCATTTGTCTGTAGTTAACTATACATCTTTGCTTCAAGGCTAGGTAATAATTTACCAACAATATTATCAAACTTCTTATCATTTTTCCTCAATTTACTATTGCTCATAACTGATCAAATACTTTTTATATATGCTATTTTGACTATAGATAAAAAGTAACCATAAATTATAAAATTATTTGAATAATGTATGTAACATTAATATTTATCATAAAAAATTTTCTCAACTCAAACATTGCGAATAATATTATTTAATAATTTTTGAGAATCATTAAATTGAAACAAATTATATTTACTAATATTATCTGTGATACATAGTTTAGAATTATAATAGTGGTCAATATTGATAAACAGCATATTAAATTGCAATAACAGATTTATATATTTAGCTTAAAATCAGTTTAAAAGTAAATAGTTTTGTAAAAGTGGGCAGCAGAGGGGACAAAAATTTTAAAAGAAGGGCGGGGGGGTTAAACTTCATAGTTTTTCAAAAATTTTTTCAAAAATTTTCACTTTTAATGGACAAAACTAAAGGAAGTTTGACCATCCAAATAATATTTTGAAAACTTAACCACGGTTTTTAACAAATGCGCTGAAAAAATTAGACATTTATCTTTACCAACTTTTTTATATTAGTAAAACGTTTTTAAAAAAAAAAAAGCCTATGATTTTAATTATAGTAGTATAATTGAAATTATAATTTAAAAATAAATTGAAAGTATAAGATTTTTTTATAAGTGAAAATAAAATAAAAAAATTAAATTATATAAGCGACAACTTTAAACAGCGAAGGTCCCTTTAATAAATTTTATATCAGAATCATTGAAATTTTTGTTGAGAAGAAAGAAAAAAAAAACTTTTTGGAAAGTTGTTTGAATTAAATAACTTTTATCTTTATTTATGCTTTTTTATTATTGAAATACATTTAAAATATTAAGCTGTGATGTGAGAGACAATACAGGATGACCATTTTGTGAAAGTATTCCAGACATATCTTTTTCACTGGCATCGGTTGTTAGTTCTAGATCGTGGTTGATGTCTAGATCGTGGTTGATGTCAACTTTTACTACAGGTTCTTTGCAAAGGTTCTTTTTTAGCAACTCAAATGCATGTTTTCTCTACTCGAATGTAACTCCTTTCTTTCTTAAATTATTTGAAGGTAAAAAATTTTCAGCATATTTTTCAGTGTATCAACCATAAGAGTTTATTAATCCTATAAACGACTTAAGGTCCTTTTTATCATTAGGAGGATTTATTTTGAGTATTTTGGTGACAAAATAACAATCTGGGGTAACTTTCTTTTCTGACAGTTTGTATCCTAAAAGTAAAAGACTTTTTGTTTCATTCACAGACTTTCTTTTATTTATGCTCATTCCTGATTCCTTCGA